ACGAATTTAAGCAGAATTATAGGAATTTGTACTTAGCTGTTTCCATATCATCAGACTTGGTGAGTCAAAACCAATATTCTTTCTGAGATGAATGATTCAAAGGAGATAAAACTGGAAAAATTATATGTGTTTTAATTAGTGTGTGTGATGCATGCATACTATAATTGTATGTCTATATATCCAAGAGTACCAAGAAAAGATGAATCAAAGCATATATATGGTATTTGAATATTAGTGCAGAGTTGCTGGACATTTTCACAGTTGCATATTGATATTGTTTCTATAAACGTTTTTTTATGCGCCCGCCTCTATAGATCGGGGTTACATATTGTTTTTGTCCTGTCTGATTGTTAACTTTAACCTTCACCTTTCTTTTGAACCAATGAGAGATAAAGATTTCATATTTGGTATGTCTACTCCACTAATTAAGGGGGCCCTCTACAACGTCACAACCTGGCGTACATCCGTAAAAACGCCATAACTTTTGAGCAATAAAAGATAAAGAACTTGTATTAAGTATGCACCCTTCATTAATTAAGCTCTTTCAAATAACACCAAGGTCAATGACCTTTGGAACTTGACTGTTACCATATACTTAAAATAGATTTTTTGAAACTTCGACATAACTTTTGAGCCATAAAAAATACAGAACTCGTATTTGGTGTGCGCCCTTCACTAATTAAGCTCTTTCAAATAACACCAAGGTCAATGAGAATTTGACCTTTACTGAGACCCATATGCTAAAAATAGCCATTTTGATCATCTGCCATAAATTTTGAACTATAAGATATAAAGACTTCATATTTGGTATGCATACTCCAATAATTAAGTTTTTCAAATGACACCAAGAACAATGACTTTGTGACTTTGACTGTGATCCATATGCTATAAATAGATTTTTCAAACTTTATTACCACCAGGCGCATAGTGTTTTACAAACATATCTTAATTTTCATTACAATGATCAACATAATTTTCTATCTGTTCAAAAAATAGCAGAAGTAGATAATTCTTATTGACCATGTGGCTTGCTATTGTTTATTATATTCCTCGGCACAGTTTGTTATTTGTTAGATTGATACATGTAGATCATTATTTCTATTAATTACCAACTTAATTATGTAGTACTGTAGCGTTGCCCCAATATTGCTGCAGCACAATTTGAAATAATACATGTACTGCAATAACTTTGCAGCAACATTGCCACAACACTTTTCTGGCAATATTGCCGCAAATCTAATTTACATACGAAAAACGATATTGTGGCATTATTGCAGCAATATTGCCAGAATGTTCTACAATATTGTTGCAATATTGCCAGAATGTTCTACAATATTGTTGCAATATTGCCGCAACATATTTCTGGCAATATTGCTGCAAATCTGATATTGCCGCAATATTGCCAGAATTTTGCTACAATATTGCGGCAACACTTTTCTGGCAATATTGCCATAAATCTATTTTACATATATACGAAAAACGATATTGCCGCAATATTGCTGCAATGCATTGCCAGAATGTTGCTGCAATATTGCGGAAATAATGTCAGAATATGTTGCCAGAAGGTGAATATTTTGGTAAGGGCTGGCAAAAAAACAGTACTGACGGACTGACTGACTGAGACTCAAACTGAACGACTGACTGAAGGGTCAAGCAACTTGTCGCGTAGGGTATAAAAACAGAGACAGGACAAAATCTATACTTTTGCAGTTATAAACACAGCTTATAGTTAAATTGTCTTTCTTCAAACGTCAAATCAAATGAAACACATGCTAGACTATGACGTCACATGGCGTCAAAGATGGAATGGTTTTAGCATTATTGCACCCCAAAAATGTAATGACATCAAAACGTTTTGAAACTGGCTAAAATTTTAGTTAAATAAATGATTCTGATAAATCAGGAAAGAATATAGCATGAAGGTTAAAATTACCATTCTGCAAATATGACGTCATTAATGTGAAGCATATCTCTATTTTTAACAGAAAAAGCCTCAAAATGGCACATTTCAAGGGTGATTTTCCTTTAGAAAACAGTGTCCACAGCCGTCACCCACGTTAATGTTTTGATATTTTATGCAAAATTCAATAGCAAATCACATATCTCAAGATCTTTGTGGGCGATGCCTGTAGACAATTTTATCTGAAAGAAAATTCCATGGAAAATTGGTGTCTTTTGCAACTTTTTGAATTTCAAATTATTTGAATTTCAATTATTAAAAAGGGGCCAATGGGCCACATCGCTCACCTGAGCACCTTTGGTCGGCCATTGTGGCCCGCCCTACCCTCGACGGTTATGATTTGAACAAACTTGAATCTACACTACCTGAGGATGCTTCCCTATAAATATTATCAATCATGGCTTGTCTATTCTTGAAAAAAAGATTTTTAAAGAATTTTCCTATATATTTCTATGTAAAACTTTGGTCGGCCATTTTGGCCCCGCCCTACCCCAGGGGGTCATTATTTAAACAAACTTGAATCTACACTACCTGAGGATGCTTCCATATAAATATGATGAGTAATGGCTTGGCTGTTCATGAGAAGAAAATTTTTAAAGAATTTTCCTATATATTTCTATGTAAAACTTTGGTCGGCTATTTTGGCCCCGCCCTATCCCCGGGGGTCATGATTTGAACAAACTTGAATCTACACTACCTGAGGATGCTTCCATATAAATATGATGAGTTATGGCTTGGCTTTTCTCGAGAAGAAGATTTTTAAAGAATTTTCCTATATATTTCTATGTAAAAATTTGGTCGGCCATTGTGGCCCCGCCCTACCCCCGGGGGTCATTGTTTTTACAAATTTGAATCTACACTACCTGAGGATGCTTCCACATAAATATGATCAATTATGGCTTGGCTTTTCTTGAGAAGAAGATTCTTAAAGAATGTTCCTTATATTTCTATGTAAATCTTTGGTCGGCCATTTTGGCCCTGCCCTTCCCCCAGGGGTCATGATTTGAACAAACTTGAATCTTCACTACCTGAGGATGCTTCCATGTAAATATGATCAATCATGGCTCGGTTATTCTTGAGAAGAAGATTTTTAAAGAATTTTCCTATATATTTCTATGTAACACTTTGGTCGGCCATTTTGGCCCCGCCCTACCCCCAGGGGTCATGATTTGAACAAACTTGCATCTACACTACCTGACGATGTTTCCCCATAAGTTTCATCTTTCCTAGCACAGTGGTTCTTGAGAAGAAGATTTTTAAGAATATCACCAAATTTTCATTAATTCCCAATTATCTCCCCTTGAATGAGGGCGTGGCCCTTCATTTGAACAAACTTGAATCCCCTTCACCCAAGGATGCTTTTTGGCAAGTTTGGTTGAAATTGGCCCAGGGGTTCTTGAGAAGAAGTCGAAAATGTGAAAAGTTTACAGACAGACAGACAGACAGACAGACGGACAGACAGACAGACGGAAGCCGGACAAAATGTGATCAGAAAAGCTCACTTGAGTCTTCGGCTCAGGTGAGCTCAAAAGCATGAGTTTTACACCAGTTTCATTTTTTAGAAAATCGCAGGGCAAAATTGTATGGAAACCATACCTTCTTCTTTACGGTTGTAACCGGAAGTAGAGCTCTTCAGTGTATAAATTACCAAAGTTACTAGCCAACTCGGCTTAAAGGAGTAAACTATCTCCAGTTATCAATTATCAACCCAGGTAAGGGGATTTCTGAACTATGGTCAAGGCTAAATGAAAACACAGTTGTAAGTTTTATCAGTTTAATAAAGTGAGAATTAACCGTTGTTAATGATAACAAATAATAAATAATGATCAAAATTTAACAAACAGAAAAGTCTTTGAAAATGGCACAGGATAAAGAAAGCTTTTTTTTTTTAAAAAAGTAATTTAATCTGATAAATGAATCAATAATCTCAATGAATAACCTCAATAAATAAATAATTGAAAAATGTAATGAAAAATGGGAGGAATGTGGCAATCTTATGAAAAATAATCTATGTCCCTACTGGGCTACCATACTTATCAAAAAGGTGAAAAATCCTATAAAAATCAATGAGATGGAAAAATGAAAAGGGAATGAGCTACATCACCCAATATGACTCTATCAACACTCTAGAGTTGAACTGAAAATATCAATGCTAATTCTAGGCTCTAAAAATAACTGACCCAGAAAATAAACAACACCCAAAAATAAATAATAAATAGTGTTTCTAGAAAATAAACCTGTTATCTACATATCCCTAGACCAGGCTGGACTTGCAAAGGGAAACTTAAATTTACTTTAAATACCCTACATCCTAACTGTTTCCTAACTTGTGAAAAACGTGAAAATAAATCTAAACCAAAACCTAGAGAACTGTTAAACCATGAGGTTTTCTTAGCCCGCTAAGTATCTAATCAGATAGTGCGCATAAACCATGAGGTTTTCTTAGCACAGAAAAGAGGAACTAACCATGAGGCTTTGTTCCCCAACCCAAGTGAAGAAAACTGCTCGAACACGGGTTTAAATACCCTGGCAAGACCCAAAATAAAAGCCAATGACTATCAAAGATCCTAAAGCTAAATTTACCAATCAGAACACAGCTATCAAAAGTACTATGGAAAGACTGCCAACATGGATGACACTTCCTGTTTAAAAAGTAAAACATGTGGAATGTCAACTCATGTCCTAACTTACAAAAGATAAATAATAAAGGACTTTACCAAAGTAACAACTGAAAACAAAAGGTAAATAGAATTATCAGACTGAAATACCAGCAAATACTTGTAAATATTGAATTTCGAAACGATGGCTATGAAATAAAAATCTAAACCACTACACGGTTATTGAGACGTCATACCTTGTGCAATATTTAATGCAATACGTTGTAGAGTAGAAGAACATATCTTTTATTACATGTACTTTTAAGCTTTGTGCAAATAAAGATATATAAGTTAACATTTTACATGTGGGTTTAATAATCAGACAAACACAATAAAATTATCAAGAGTTGGTAAAGACGGAACCAGCATATTCCCGTTCTTTCTCACACGACTGACGGAGCTTTTTTGCCTTTCCTTACCATTCCAATTTTTTTCCTTTTCAGGGATTTTTTCGGATCTTCCTTTGACTTTGACTTGAGTTGCATCTTAAGGTCTTCAATCTCTTTATCCTTATCTTCAAGGATTTTCTCCTTGTCTTCCAATTTTGCCTTTATAATTTTTTTCTCAGCTTTAATTTTCTTGTACTTTGTTTTCAGTTCCTCCATATCGTTATTAGTTTTCTCTTTTTCGTCTTTGAGACCCTTTACTTTTCTCTTTAATTTCTCAATTTTTCTGATCTGCTGATCATCCCCGTCAAAATGAAGTTGATTTATCACCTGTATTGGATCTACCTGAGTTTGACAGCTAGGACAGGTTTTCGACTTCCTAAGCCAATTAGTCATACATGGTTTGTGAAACGTGTGTCCGCATTGGATCGCTGTTATGGTCACTGACGGGTCGTTGACAAAAAAGTCAGAACAGATGTTACACTGGGCTGTCATGTTTTACAGTGGTATTATTGCCTGCAAGATAAATCAGTCAAATCAAAATAATTAAGAGTTTGGACATCAGGCGCGGGTACAGAAATTTTTCAGGGGGAGGGGATCCATCCCTGTCAAAAACGATTTTCAACCCTCACATTTCTTGACAATCAAACCCTAGAAATATGTCCATAGGACATGAATGCCCCGCTGAGGATTAATTAGTAAAGCAACATGAAAATTTGTATGTGTATAAAATTTGATCAGTTTGGTTCAGGTAAAGCTTATAGTTACTAGGGAATAAAATTAAGGTCAGATCCAGCATCCGAAGCAAGTCTGGTAGTGTCCATCCCTAGATGCATCATCCATGCAAGTTTGGTTCAGTTATAGGGCTTATAGTTCCTTGGGAATGAAAATATAGGTCAGATCCAGCATCAGAAGCAAGGCTGGTAGTGCCCATGATTAGATACATCATCTATGCAAGTTTGGTTCTAGTAAGGTTTATAGCTCCTTAGGATTGGACCTGCTCCAAAAACTTTGACCTGGTCACTCATCTGGAAAATGTAAGTCAGATCCAGCATCCAAAGCAAGTCTGGTAGTGTTCATCCCTAGATGCATCATCCATGCAAGTTTTATCACCATGTGAAGTTTGATAACACCATCTTGAATGATATGTTTAAAACTGAACTAAACACTAATTTCAGATAAGTGAGGTCAAGGTCAAAGTCAAAAAAAGTTGAAGCATAGCTCTCATCAATATCTATCAGCATATGAAGTCTGATGAAAATAACTTGGATAGTTTCTTTGAAACTTAGCTTTGAACAGAGCTAAACGCCAAGTGTGACGGAAGGACAGAAGGACGGAAGACGGACATGACAAACACTATATGCCCCGGCTATATTCATGGCGGGGCATAACAAAAATTAATTTGATCATGAAACGTGAAAAACATATATCGGTCAAGCGGGTGGGGGTGGTTTATCACATAGATTTGTGTTTCTGACAAGAGTCACCGTTCTCTAAGGGGGTGGGGTGCTCCAAGGTCACTTTTACTTGTTTTTTGTATATATGCAAATTCCAGATGGGGGGGGGGGGTCCGGACCCCCGCCCCCTTCCCTTTTCATCCCTGCATGGACATGACCCCACCGAGTTTTCCTTTGAAGTCATTAAGTGTACAATAATTGCAATACAGGACACTTTTTGTGAATGTTTCGTGTGAGTGTTTTTTATGCAAATCAGCAGAAACTATACTTTATCCGCAAAATATTAATGATACATTACGGTTTATTTTAGCGATGACAGAAATTAAAGCTGTAATCGTATGCAGACGTATGAATCGTTCAATTTTAATGATAATGCCTCATAATATGAGGTGAATAAAAGAATTAAAGGACAAGATAGGGTAAGACCAGTATTTGGCCCCCGATTTTGGGTGTCTTTCAGAATGATCCAACAGTTTATCCATGAAAACCTGTTTTCACCCCTGCCACAAAATGAGTACTGGTTTTAAGATTAAGAATATACAGAGGTCGCAGTGAGGTCAGGAAATAGGTCAATTTTCGAAATTTCTCATTTTTATGCAAATTTTCACTAATTTTACAGCTCATTTTCTTTCGGTAAACATAGAGCACACGCTTGCCTATCTACCAAATTTATATATTTTATACACTGATATCAGATGCAGTATATGTGTAAAAATCTCAGATAGGCAAGCCTGTGCTCTATGTTTTCCGAAGAGAAATATACCCAAAATATGATGAAAATCAACCAGAATTGAGGAAATTCGGGAAAATGTCCTATTTCTGAACCCTCTAGTGGCTTCAATGTAGCCTTTGAATCAAAATTAGTGTTTGTCTTAAAGTAAGCATCATTTTAACTTCTTAACTACAAACTATAACAGTTTTATCAGTGTTCTGATTTTTATATAAAAAATTCGGCTGTTACCCTATCTTGTCTTTTACACCAAGTAATGAGTGTTAGATTAAAAAATTCTGGAAAGGACGGAATTGGACGCAGTTCACGAATGTTAATCTTCACCGAAAAAGGAAAATCGTAAATTCAAAATCAACCCTGACACTATGTGTTATATTGTTAGGCTACGTATTGATATATTTAAAGGCATGTGTAAACAACTTAAACAAAAACAAGCAAATTCAAAGGAAATCGTGGTCCCCCGCTTTCGGTATCTTTGTGGGTGAGATGTTATTTTTATTGTCTGTAATATAAACATATACTATCGTATGTCATTTATTTAGAACGTAACATTGAAGTTGATTTTTGTTTAAGGATGAAAATCTTAATCCTGACGGTTAAAAAGTTATGGCCAAAGTAAAAACTTTTTTTTCAAAGTAGGTCATCTCCAAGGTCAAGATCAAAAGGTCAAAATTGTTGATATCCAATGAAAGATTTTCTCACAAGGATAATATATGTGAGATATGAAAACCCTAGCTTTTACTGGTCAAAAGTTATGGTCAAGGTTAAATTATTTTCGTAAGTACGTAAATCTTTAAGTTCAAGGTCCAAAGGTCAAAGTTGTTTATATCCAATGAAAGGACTTACAACAAAGAATATATATGTGAAAAATAAAAGTCCTAGTATCTACCATTCAAAAGTTGTGACCAAAGTTAATTTAAAAAAAAAAAGTAGTTAAAGCTCAAAATGTCAAGGTCAAAGGGTTAAAAGTTGTTGGTATCCAACAAAAAGGTTTTCTCAAAAGGATTACATATGTGAAGTACGAAAGACCTAGCCCTCACCGTTCAAAAGTTATTGTCAGGATTGAAGTTTTTTCATAAGTTCTTTAATCTCCAAGGTCAAAAGGTCAAGGTTGTTGGTATCCAATGAATGTCTTGCCACAAGGAATACATATGTGAAACATAAAAGTTCTAATATCTACTGTTCAAAAGTTGTGACCAAGGTTGAAGTTTTTAAAAAGTAGTTAAAACTCCAAGGTCAGGGTCAAAGGGTAAAAGTTGTTGGTATCCAATGAACGATTTTCTCACAGGGATTACATATGTGAAGTATGAAAGCCCTAGCTTTTACTGTTCAAAAGTTATGGTCAAAGTCTTTTTCATAAGTACATAAATCTCCAAGGTCAAGGTCAAAAGGTCAAGGTTGTTGCTATGAAAGGTCTTGCCACAAACAATACAAATGTGAAATATGAAAGTCCTATAATCTACTATTCAAAAGTTATGTCCAAAGTCAAAGTTTGGACTTGTGTAAAAGTTGGTCAAACTCCAAGGTCAAGGTCAAAAGGTCAAATTTGATGGTACCCAAGGAAAGGTCTTGTCACACGGAATACACCTGTGCAACACGAAAGTCATAGCTCTACTAAATCAAAAGCTATGTGCAATGTTAAAGTTTTTGTGACGGACGGACAGACGGACAGACTGACACATTGATAGATTGACGGACAGACGGACAGACGAATGAGATTTAAAGCTGAACACGACTCGTAAATAGGCATATGCCATTTTTGATAGCATTATCTACGATACATCAATACTAGGGTATACTCGTCGCTTTCGTTACACCTGACTGCTTTATTGTCACAGGTATCGGCGTGGAATGGCGATCCGTGTTCGTGCTGGTTATCTTGCATTACCTTTGTTTATATTTTATTGGACTTACGTTTATCTATGTTGTTTGTATACTGCTCTGACTTATACAGCTATAATTGTAAATTTATTTGGTATCTTACTTTCCTGCATTAGACGAAGTATTACGATATTATTCTCGCTACCAAGTCCTGTATAGCATACGTCCGTCTACATCGGTGTCGACTGATTAAACTGAACAATCTTTAATTCTTGCCCTATTTATATGGGTCTTCAGGGTAGCGAGTCTCGGGAACTAAAATGGCGGATACATTTCTTTTACGAATCGTGTTCAGCTTTAATGTCCCCTCGCTTTCGCGAAAGCGGGGGACAATAATTTACAAAAGTCAAAAATAAAAAGCTCTCAGGGGGGGGGGACATACAGTCACGTATCAGTGCATGCTGGACCCTAACCCCCTCCCTTTTATTACTCTTCATTTATTTCAGGCATGAAGGTAACAGGCCCCTCTTTTTGTCCCCCGCTTTCGCAAAAGCGAGGGGACATTAAATCTCATTCGTCTGTCCGTCTGTCCGTCCGTCACAAAAACTTTAACCTTGTCCATAACTTTTGATTTAGTGGAGCTATGATTTTCATATTTCATATGTGTATTCCTTGTGATAAGTCCTTTCTTTGGGTACCACCAAATTTGATTTTTGACATTGACCTTGGAGTTTCAACTACTTTTACTAACTTTAACCTTGCCCATAACTTTTGATTTAGTGGAGCTATGATTTTCATATTTCATATGTGTATTCCTTGTGATAAGTCCTTTCTTTGGGTACCACCAAATTTGATTTTTGACATTGACCTTGGAGTTTCAACTACTTTTACTAAAAAATTCCAAACTTTTACTTTGGTCATAATTTTTGAATGGTAGGTACTAGGACTTTCATCTTACTAAATTTATACTTCATGACAAGACCTTTCAATGAATACCAACAACTTTGACCTTTTGACCTTGACCTTGATAATTTACGTACTTATGAAAAAACTATCTCCTTGACCATAATTTTTGAACGACAGGGGCTACGGCTTTATTACTTCACATACGTTATTCTTGTAAGAAGACCTTTCATTGGATACCAAGAACTTTGACCTTTTGACCTTGATCTTGGAGTTTTAACTACTTTTTAAAAATTATAACCTTGGTCACAACTTTTGAACGGTAGATACAAGGACTTATATTTCACACATGTATTCTTAGAAACAATACCTTTCATTTGATAACAACAACTTTGACCTATTGACCTTGACCTTGGAGATTAACGTACTTCTGAAAAAGCTTTAACCTTGACCATAACTTTTAAGCGGTAAGGGCAATGGCTTTCATACTTCACGTATGTAATCTTTGTGAGAAGACCTTTCATTGCATGCCAAGAACTTTGACCCTTTGACATTGACCTTGGAGTTTTAACTACTTTTCAAAA